TTAACCATTTTTTGTGTGTGGAATTTCTGTCCTGAAACTTAGCTGGAGAACACTTGTTTAAGTTTTAACAACTCTTTTGTATGAGGAAACTCTGTTCTGAGACTTGACCAATGGGGGACTTCTTTGAGTTTTAACAAATATACTGCATGTAAGATTCTGTTTTGAAATATGGCCAAGATTTCCTTGACTTTTAACCATTTTTTTGTGTGGAATTTCTGTCCTGAAACAACTGGAGAACACTTGTTTAAGTTTTAACAACTCTTTTGTATGAGGAAACTCTGTTCTGAGATTTGGCCAACGAGAACTTGTTTGGGTTTTAACAAATATACTGCATGTAAGATTCTGTTTTGAAATATGGCCAAGATTTCCTTGAGTTTTAACCATTTTTTGTGTGTGGAATTTCTGTCCTGAAACTTAGCTGGAGAACACTTGTTTAAGTTTTAACAACTCTTTTGTATGAGGAAACTCTGTTCTGAGATTTGGCCAACGAGAACTTGTTTGGGTTTTAACAAATATACTGCATGTAAGATTCTGTTTTGAAATATGGCCAAGATTTCCTTGAGTTTTAACCATTTTTTTGTGTGTGGATTTCTGTCCTGAAACTTAACTGGAGAACACTTGTTTAAGTTTTAACAACTCTTTTGTATGAGGAAACTCTGTTCTGAGATTTGGCCAACGAGAACTTGTTTGGGTTTTAACAAATATACTGCATGTAAGATTCTGTTTTGAAATATGGCCAAGATTTCCTTGACTTTTAACCATTTTTTTGTGTGTGGAATTTCTGTCCTGAAACTTAGCTGGAGAACACTTGTTTAAGTTTTAACAACTCTTTTGTATGAGGAAACTCTGTTCTGAGACTTGGCCAATGGGAGACTTCTTTGAGTTTTAACAACCTCTTTGTATGTGGTAATGTTTTCCTAGAACATGGCCAGAAAAGAGTTTAAGTTTTAACCATTTTTTTGTATTGGGACTTCTGTCCTGAAACTTACAGAGAACACTTGTTAAGTTTTAACAACTTTTTTGTACGAGGAAACTCTGTTCTGAGACTTGGCCAATGGGGGACTTCTTTGAGTTTTAACAACCTCTTTGTATGTGGTATTGTTTTCCTAAAATATGGCAGAAAAAAACGTTTGTTTTAACCACTATTTTGTAGTGGGATTTCTGTCCTGAAGCTTAGCTAGAGAATACTTGCCTAAGTTTTAACAACTTTTTGTGCGAGGAAACCCTATTCTGAGACTTGGGCAACGAGAACTTGTTTGAGTTTTAACGAATATTTAGCATGTAAGATTCTGTTTTGAAATATGGCCAAGATTTCCTTGAGTTTTAACCATTTTTTGTGTGTGGAATTTCTGTCCTGAAACTTAGCTGGAGAACACTTGTTTAAGTTTTAACAACTCTTTTGTATGAGGAAACTCTGTTCTGAGACTTGGCCAATGGGGGACTTCTTTGAGTTTTAACAAATATACTGCATGTAAGATTCTGTTTTGAAATATGGCCAAGATTTCCTTGATTTTAACCATTTTTTTGTGTGGAATTTCTGTCCTGAAACTTAGCTGGAGAACACTTGTTTAAGTTTTAACAACTCTTTTGTATGAGGAAACTCTGTTCTGAGATTTGGCCAACGAGAACTTGTTTGGGTTTTAACAAATATACTGCATGTAAGATTCTGTTTGAAATATGGCCAAGATTTCCTTGAGTTTTAACCATTTTTTGTGTGTGGATTTCTGTCCTGAAACTTAGCTGGAGAACACTTGTTTAAGTTTTAACAACTCTTTTGTATGAGGAAACTCTGTTCTGAGATTTGGCCAACGAGAACTTGTTTGGGTTTTAACAAATATACTGCATGTAAGATTCTGTTTTGAAATATGGCCAAGATTTCCTTGAGTTTTAACCATTTTTTGTGTGTGGGATTTCTGTCCTGAAACTTAACTGGAGAACACTTGTTTAAGTTTTAACAACTCTTTTGTATGAGGAAACTCTGTTCTGAGATTTGGCCAACGAGAACTTGTTTGGGTTTTAACAAATATACTGCATGTAAGATTCTGTTTTGAAATATGGCCAAGATTTCCTTACTTTTAACCATTTTTTTGTGTGTGGAATTTCTGTCCTGAAACTTAGCTGGAGAACACTTGTTTAAGTTTTAACAACTCTTTTGTATGAGGAAACTCTGTTCTGAGACTTGGCCAATGGGAGACTTCTTTGAGTTTTAACAACCTCTTTGTATGTGGTAATGTTTTCCTAAAACATGGCCAGAAAAGAGGTTTAAGTTTTAACCATTTTTTTGTATGTGGGACTTCTGTCCTGAAACTTAACTAGAGAACACTTGTTTAAGTTTTAACAACTTTTTTGTACGAGGAAACTCTGTTCTGAGACTTGGCCAATGGGGGACTTCTTTGAGTTTTAACAACCTCTTTGTATGTGGTATTGTTTTCCTAAAATATGGCCAGAAAAAAACGTTTGTTTTAACCACTATTTTGTATGTGGGATTTCTGTCCTGAAGCTTAGCTAGAGAACACTTGCCTAAGTTTTAACAACTTTTGTGTGAGGAAACCCTATTCTGAGACTTGGGCAACGAGAACTTGTTTGAGTTTTAACGAATATTTAGCATGTAAGATTCTGTCTTGAAATATGGCCAAGATTTCCTTTGGAGCTTTTACAACGCTAGTTTTGTTGTGTGCTTGTGAATTTCAATTGTAACTACTGCATGTAAGATTCTGTTTGAAATATGGCCAAATTTCCTTGATTTTAACCATTTTTTGTGTGTGGATTTCTGTCCTGAAACTTAGCTGGAGAACACTTGTTTAAGTTTTAACAACTCTTTTGTATGAGGAAACTCTGTTCTGAGACTTGACCAATGGGGGACTTCTTTGAGTTTTAACAAATATACTGCATGTAAGATTCTGTTTTGAAATATGGCCAAGATTTCCTTGATTTTAACCATTTTTTTGTGTGTGGAATTTCTGTCCTGAAACTTAGCTGGAGAACACTTGTTTAAGTTTTAACAACTCTTTTGTATGAGGAAACTCTGTTCTGAGATTTGGCCAACGAGAACTTGTTTGGGTTTTAACAAATATACTGCATGTAAGATTCTGTTTTGAAATATGGCCAAGATTTCCTTGAGTTTTAACCATTTTTTGTGTGTGGAATTTCTGTCCTGAAACTTAGCTGGAGAACACTTGTTTAAGTTTTAACAACTCTTTTGTATGAGGAAACTCTGTTCTGAGATTTGGCCAACGAGAACTTGTTTGGGTTTTAACAAATATACTGCATGTAAGATTCTGTTTTGAAATATGGCCAAGATTTCCTTGAGTTTTAACCATTTTTTGTGTGTGGAATTTCTGTCCTGAAACTTAACTGGAGAACACTTGTTTAAGTTTTAACAACTCTTTTGTATGAGGAAACTCTGTTCTGAGATTTGGCCAACGAGAACTTGTTTGGGTTTTAACAAATATACTGCATGTAAGATTCTGTTTTGAAATATGGCCAAGATTTCCTTGACTTTTAACCATTTTTTTGTGTGTGGAATTTCTGTCCTGAAACTTAGCTGGAGAACACTTGTTTAAGTTTTAACAACTCTTTTGTATGAGGAAACTCTGTTCTGAGACTTGGCCAATGGGAGACTTCTTTGAGTTTTAACAACCTCTTTGTATGTGGTAATGTTTTCCTAGAACATGGCCAGAAAAGAGGTTTAAGTTTTAACCATTTTTTTGTATGTGGGACTTCTGTCCTGAAACTTAACTAGAGAACACTTGTTTAAGTTTTAACAACTTTTTTGTACGAGGAAACTCTGTTCTGAGACTTGGCCAATGGGGGACTTCTTTGAGTTTTAACAACCTCTTTGTATGTGGTATTGTTTTCCTAAAATATGGCCAGAAAAAAACGTTTGTTTTAACCACTATTTTGTATGTGGGATTTCTGTCCTGAAGCTTAGCTAGAGAACACTTGTTAAGTTTTAACAACTTTTTTGTACGAGGAAACTCTGTTCTGAGACTTGGCCAATGGGGGACTTCTTTGAGTTTTAACAACCTCTTTGTATGTGGTATTGTTTTCCTAAAATATGGCCAGAAAAAAACGTTTGTTTTAACCACTATTTTGTATGTGGATTTCTGTCCTGAAGCTTAGCTAGAGAACACTTGCCTAAGTTTTAACAACTTTTTGTTGAGGAAACCCTATTCTGAGACTTGGGCAACGAGAACTTGTTTGAGTTTTAACGAATATTTAGCATGTAAGATTCTGTCTTGAAATATGGCCAAGATTTCCTTCACTTTTAACAATTTTGTTGTAAGCGGAAATTTTATCCTGAAACTTGGCTAAAGAAAGCTGTTTGAGTGTTAAATTTTTGTGTGAGGAAACTCTGTTCTGAGATTTGGCCAACGAGAACTTGTTTGGGTTTTAACAAATATACTGCATGTAAGATTCTGCTTTGAAATATGGCCAATATTTCCTTGACTTTTAACCATTTTTTGTGTGTGGGATTTCTGTCCTGAAACTTAACTGGAGAACACTTGTTTAAGTTTTAACAACTCTTTTGTATGAGGAAACTCTGTTCTGAGACTTGACCGGTGGGGACTTCTTTGAGTTTTAACAACCTCTTTGTATGTCGTAATGTTTTCCTAAAACATGGCCAGAAAGAGGTTTAAGTTTTAACCATTTTTTGTATGTGGGACTTCTGTCCTGAAACTTACTGGAGAACACTTGTTTAAGTTTTAACAACTTTTTTGTATGAGGAAACTCTGTTCTGAGACTTGCCAATGGGGGACTTCTTTGAGTTTTAACAAATATACTGCATGTAAGATTCTGTTTTGAAATATGGCCAAGATTTCCTTGAGTTTTAACCATTTTTTGT